AGAGAAAGGAAATGTAACCAAAAGCCCTCATCTCCCTAGGATGAGAAGACAAGGAATCTTCCCCAGCCTTTCAGGTTAATGTGATCCTGTGATTTGAGTGAGAGTAGGTTTAAGAAATGTAGGCCACCTGCATCCTTCTGGTTCTGCACACAGAGCTCACACACTGAACAGGGGGGACTGTGTGGGTGGGCCCTGAATGAGGGCCTGAGGCCTGAGCTCCAGTCTGTGCTGTGAAGCAGTTGTGCTATGGTTAGAAGGGTTCTCTGCAACAGCCATGTAGCCATCTAACTTCTGAGCCCTAAATGAACACCAACTCAGCACAGTCCCTCAGCCCAGGCTGCCAGAGTCAGGTCCTGACTCCCTGGTGGGCAGTGGTAGGCAACCTCACTTCAGGGTTGGCCCTCTGCAGGTCACAGGCACTTCCCAGGGATACCTGCAACAGGTCAGGTGCCAATCTAAATACAGCTGGAGCATGAGGGTAAGAGTGAGGGGAGCCTGGAGCCTACCTAGCAGGTGCTGGGTCCCCCATACACTGCAGCCTGCTTGGTTCCCAGTCCAAGTCCCACATCCCACTGCATCCCAAATTCTCAGCACTTAAGATGGGCTCTGGCTCCCTTAGTTTTCTATACTGTGTGGACCTCATATAAGACGCTAAACCATGTAAGTTTACCATGTTGCCTGTACTTCAGACCCTGGAAGAGATGAGGGTGAAATGCTCAGTCTGGGATTGCTGATGGTGTGACTACAAGGTTACTGTGACTGTTTTACCTCCTGGACTCCTCAGGCACCCCAACAGGAAGGAGTGAGGAAATGCCTCAGATTCACAGAGATGACATTTATAGGTATAGTAGCTATTGCCAACATGCTGTGTGCTGGCTCTGTTTGGCACTGCCCTCTGGACATTATCTTGGGAACTCTGCTTTAGCAGTGAGGGTGTAACACCTATCTGGACCAGTGTGGCCGCCAAGGCAGGAGTGTCATCTTATTGTCAGACATCTTATTGTGACAGCCACCACTAGAGCCTATGCCAGAGGGCTGCTACAAGAAGGAAATACTATGATTTCTGTCATATCCCTTGGGAAGAATCTGGTGCCCAGCACCAGCAATGGTGGTGGAGAGTATGTTATTCTGTCCTCTCCTATCCAGACTTTTTCTCTACTCCTGGCATGTGGCCCAGCAGTAATTGTCCTTGGCTAGAAACACCCTTGGTTAATAACTGAACCACAGAAACTCTGTAAATGTTGTGAAGCCAGACTACAGAGCACTCTGAATGAGGAAACTCATTTCTGAATGAGCCCTGAGGCATCAGGTGGAAGGCTTCAGCCTAGCTGCTATGCAGGCTGTGGTAGGATACTGGTACCCATTGAGAAGAGACCAGGGATGTTGGTAAGCACTCTCAGTGCACAGGACATCCCACAACAGAAGGACCTAGCCCAAAGCCAACAGTGCCAAGGTTTGGCAAGGCCAGATGCCAAGTACAGTTCAAGGCCTTCAGGAATAAATGCCTCGCTTCTCTTCACCCATCCAAGGACAAGCATCTGGACTGAGACTGAAGGTGAAGAGTAGGCAATATCCTGGGTCTTCTCTCCTGGTTGGCTTCCTGTAAGACCTTGTTGGGGAACGAGAGTACCATTGCTTTAAAATTACTCCCAAATTAGCATTTTGGACATACCAAAGTAAATGAACTATAACACACTAAGCACTGAGAACAATGTCCCACACATCATAATGTTCAATGACTATTACTTTGTTATTATTCAGCATTCTCAGACTGTGCTATACTCTGTACAGTCTCTGTGACTTAGCACACTCTGTTTCTTGATTCCTGAATGCCTTTCCTCCTGTTGCCCGTGGAACTTTTTTTTTTTTTTTTTTACCTTTAAGACTAGCTCAAGCTTAACTACCACTGTGACCCTCTCATTCCATTCTGGGAGGAGAGAATGGTCACACTGCACTCTATCCCCCAACTCCTTCTCCTAGGGTTCCACTAAGTGGCTAGTTCTGGCCAGGCATGGTAGCACATGCCTTTAATCGCAGCACTCGGGAGGCAGAGGAAGGCTGATCTCTGAGAGATTAAGGCCAGCCTGGTCTACATAGTGAGTTCCAGGTTAGCTGGGGCTACAGGGAGAGCCTATCTAAAAATAAACCAAAAAAGAAGCTAGTTCTGAAGTTCTCTACACCAGACTGCTCCTACGAGGGTGCTAAAGCTAGAGCCCTGAGTTCAATCTGTTACCAGGACATAGGACACAGCTGGAATGGGAGAAGAGGGCAGAAAGCTTTGAGGGAGCAGCAGTTCTTGCCTCTTTGCTTAGCCCCATGAGGACAAAACATCATTAGTCAGGTGTCTCATGTTGCTGGCTCAAGGCCTTGACCTTGACTTCCATAAGCATCTGCAGATGCTTCTCGTTCATACATACTGTATGGGTCGCTGCAGAACTGTGATCCACCAGTGACCATGGGCGTGGCTTCTGCACAGAGCTAAGACTAGGCCCCAGGATCCCTCCAATTCTCCCTGTCCACCCACGCTTTTCACTACCCTCTCTACAGTGTTGAAACTGAGTACCACCTACCATGGACAAACTGACACATGACAGGATGCATCTTCTGCTGCATGCACACTGGCCTGTGTGTTCTGGAGACAAGATGAGAACACTTGAAGGGTGGATAGCATCCCTATGTCCTGGGGCACTGAGGCTTCTATACTCCTACAGTCTCAGGAGCCATGCCACCTTCTTGAGAAGCCTTCTAAACTCCAGACTCAGCCAGGGGCCTTGCTATGAAATGTTACAACATCACACACCTTTCTTCCCAGCATTAACATGGCTGGTAGCATGCACAGACTGACAAAGCCTGCATAATTTCCATCTTCATACCCGCTGCAGGCTGACCAAGTATCCCCACACCCACATGCACAGATCCCCAGGTAAACCAGTTTGAGCCTGTGGTTGGAGATGGCCTTTAAAGAGTTACAATGAGGTCATTAATGTTCGTTATAATAAATTATGAGTGGTGTCTACACAAGACTAGGACAGATGGCTACGTGAAGATACACAAAGGACATCTGCAAGCCAAGCAGAGACTAGCCTTGCTCACTGTCTGATCTTGGATTTCCAGCTTTCAGACTTCCAGAGCTGTGAGCAGTAAATGGCAGTTGTTTACGCTCCCAGCCTGTGGTATTGTGGTGGTTACCTGAGCTGACAAGCTCACCATCCAAACTGAATGCTCCATATAGGGGTCACCTGAGCTATATTCAGTTTGGTAGTCCTTGGACCTGGCATAGGGATAACTCACGGGTATTCAAAATACTGTAGAATAGAGAACAATTGGCTGTGAGATCTCTGAGTGCAGGTGTCATGTCTTACTTGAGCTGTGTGCCCAGTTAGTATGCAGCTGGCTGTACTGTGTCCTTATCTCTGATGTGGGCCTACCTGCTGCTTCCTAGCCTCAAGCAGAGAGGCACAGAGAGAGAGGGCCTCTGGTGACCAATGCCCTCCCTTGTGAGAGGGCAATGTCTATCTGTGACCCTCTGAGGAGGAATTAGGGAGGTAGGGAACCCCTAGCCTTACCTGGGGAGTGGTCAAGGAGACCCTCTTCCTGTCTGGAGTTAGGGTTGATCTAGTCAAGAAATTACAAACCAACATCACCTTGCTTACTTCATCTAAACTTCACTTACATCTGTCTTCACTTTCCAACTCAGAGTCCTAGAGCCACACAGAGGACCATGCAAGTCTGGGTGACATCAGAGGTGGTTCCTGTAAAACACTTCAACTTTTCTGTTTGAAAATTTTTATATTACAGAGTTGGAGGGTAAAAGACTGGTGATCGTGACATATTAATATGAACATACCCCTCAGTCCCTCCTATGCTATAAGGAGCTATGGCATGAGTCCTATCTGTAACCTGTTTGTTCAGCCCCCAGTATATTCATGTTGATGACCTCCAGCTCTCCACACCTAGCACATGGCCACCTCAGGCCTCTAGCCTTCATATACACAGCTCATGGCCACATCAGGCCTCTAGCCTTCACATACACAGCTCATGGACACCTCAGGCCTCTAGCCTTCATATACACAGCTCATGGCCACATCAGGCCTCTAGCCTTCACATACACAGCTCATGGACACCTCAGGCCTCTAGCCTTCACATACACAGCTCATGGACATCTCAGGTCTCTAGCCTTCACATACACAGCTCATGGACACCTCAGGCCTCTAGCCTTCATATACACAGTTCATGGACATCTCAGGTCTCTAGCCTTCACATACACAGCTCATGGACACCTTGGGCCTCTAGCCTTCACATACACAGCTCATGGACACTCCAGGCCTCTAGCCTTCCACACCCAGGGCATGGCCACCTCAGACCTCCAGTCTTTCTCACCCAGCACACCCCCACCTCAGACCTCCAGTCCTGCCATACCCCACACAGCTCAGACCTCTGCACATATCTTACACTCTCTGTGGATGTTTATTATGCTGTCTTCTCTGATGGCCACAGGCTCCATACCTCCAGTACCTAGATAAGCCTGATATAAAGTTGGCCTCAATAAAATGCAGGCTGTACAAACACACACATGACCAAAGGGATGACTATATGAAACATGGAGGCTCTACTTCCAGAAGCAAGTACATAATCTGACCCAGCCACGAACATGGCCCTGAACCTGATGGCCTCTGGTAGGCAATTAGAAGTGGCAACCCACATTTGCTGGAATCTACTGGGTACCATGGTGTGATGTCAGGCCCCGGAAATCTCTTACCTCACCTCACTCAAGTTGTTCTGTAAGGTCAATACCTACTTCACAAGAAAGCCAAGGGTGTGTCCAAAGTGGTAAACTGGGATAAAACTCAACCCTGACCTTGCCCCTGCTCAGATCCGTCTTGTTTCCTTGTCCAGACCCTTCTCAGGACCCATGCAGGCTTCCTAGCCAGAGGGCAAAAGTTCACAGTGCTATCTTGACTGGGCTTCAACATGCCCTGCAGGGATTCAGCTGCACTCACCAGGGATGTAGATCTTGAACTTGCCACTTTGACCAAAGGCACTGTCGATGATACCCTGCTCCCCCGTGGACAGCTGCACCTTGAGCCCCACAAAGAGCTGGATGTTGGTCTCCTTTTTGAACAGGGAGCGCCCAATCACGCTGTAGTCATCCATTACCTGTCCCCACACAGGAGAGGAGGTATTAGTAGTGCATGCTGAGAACCAGCTCTGGGTTTGTGGGGTGCTGTGACCACCTTATAGACAAACACAGAGCAGAGCAAAGGTCTGAGCTGTTTGCTACATAACCACTATATTCCCTTGACATAGGCATGAATGTTACATGGATCAATACTCATGGCAACCCTGTGAGCCCCACGTTATAGCCAAGATCAGAGTCACAGAGTTGGAGGGATAGGCAGTTTGAGTTCAAATACACTGCAGCAGCTATCTCCCACCTGTCTCTCCCTCCAAGGGCTCCTGCAGCTCTCTGGAGCAGCACGGTCTTGGCTCTGGCTTTACCCCTAGGAGATCTCTGAATAGCGGCCCTGCTTGTCATCTTGCCTCACATACCCACTTTTCTCTGCTTGCTCTGCTGTGCCCAGTCAGTCTAGTCAGTCTAGTTCCAGGCAGGATCCCTTGTGGTCCCTGCCCCTGCTGCCCTGTCAGGGCCTTCCTTAAGGGCTCATATTCGTGCTGGGCACTTTGGCCACCCCCTTGCCTCTTTGTGAGTACTCAGGCTAAGAGGTACACATGAGTGAAGCCTCTGGCTGGGGCATCCTGGATGGATTCTACCATTAGCTACATTTTCTCATGCATGTCCCTGCACCCAGCCTGGTTGTACCTCATCCAGCCTGCCTAAGTCTTGTCACCAAGAGCTTCATCACAACTGGGAGTGACATACCTCCCCTTCCTGGTTGGTTCTTATCTTCACCAATCCATTCTGTAGATGCTGCTTCCAGCAGCTAAGTCAGGCCCATGACAAGAAATGTCTCCTACTCTGGCAACTGCTATGGAAATCACAAACTCACAGACTTCTTAGTCATCCACACTGTGTCTAGGATCAGCAGTACCCCTTGGGTACATCTGCCCACGTGAGAAATGACAGCAGTGTCAGGCAGCAAAGGCCTGGGATCAACCCAGCACAACCAAATGGTACACAGTTGGCACTGGCAACACTGTGTCCAGGAAGGGGGCCCTGGCACTGGGCGGGTACTAGCAGAACACAGAGCAAGGCACAGAGCATGCTGCCATGTGCAAAAGGGCTATGTAGAAAGAATCAAAAAAAGCTGATACCTCTAAGGAAGGGCATGGGGTACCTGGAGTATATTTCACTGTGTATCTTTTCCTCCTTTCTAGATTTAAAAATAAACAAATGAATGACCTATTCAAAAGGAAAATAAAAATTAAAACAAATAGGGAAGTACCTGTCTTCTACCCTCACCAGGCAAATCTATTCTTTCTTGATGGTCAAAGGTAGAAGAACGTTTCCCCAAGCCACTTCTGGTGGCTGACCCTCTTGAGGTGTAGACCCCAGCCTATGGGGCTGATTTCCCCTGAGGTATAGACGCCAGTCTGTGGACTGTCCCCTTCTGAGGTGCAGACTCCAGCATGTGGACTGTCCTCTCCTGATTTAAGACCCCAGTCTGTGGGGCTATCCCCTCCTGAGGTGTAGAAACATCTCATTGCTACTAAAGATGCCTCAATCTGGCCAAGCACTATAGATGTAATTGTTTTGAAAAGCAGAAACTGTCTCATTTACCCTAAAACCCTTTTGAAAACAATATCCTATTCTGCTTGATTCATAGCAGCAGATAAAAGGTACTACATTCCTCCTCTCCTGGTGATTGATGAATTGGATACAAACAATGATAAGAATTACAATCTCCACTTGCACAGCCCTTTGTAACTCACAAGCTTCTTTCCCACACAGCAACTCCTCCTTGCCCTTTGAGAGGACTCCAGTATGTGCCCTCCAGGGCAATTCCTGTCCCTGGAGGGTGGGTCTACTCAGCCTTCCTGGCCAGCACCACCGGCCTCCTGCCCACTGGCGTCCAGGAAGTTCCACTGAGCAGACTTTATGAAGGCTGCGCCTCACTGCCCAGGATGGACAGCCCCAATCCCAAATGGCATAGGGTGGAGCTTCACAGGAGCTTGTCCCCAAAACCACAGAAAGGTCTGTGTACAGAGCTGGGCTCCCTGCCCAGAAGGCAGAGTCCATTGCTATTCACCTCTGTAGTCAAGCCTGGCATGACCTGGACATTTAGCTGAACTGGCCCAATGGTGCCAACCTGAGAAGTCTATGTCTCCATGACTAAAGGTATTCAGGCCACCTCCTGTCCCTAATCAGCCTCTGTTGCCACAAACTGTCACATCTTCTTTGGGCTTCTCTTCTTAACCTCACCTTCAGGGACTTCAGCCTACTAAGAGGGGTTGGATCTGAAAGGCAGCACATGAAGACCCAGCCCAGGCTTTCCAGGCCCTTTGCAAAGCCTGTGCTGAAAGCCAAATAAGCAACCAGCTTTATGCAGTTCCCCTCCACACTGAAGTAGCAGCTGGTGGTGTTGCCCAGGGTGCTTGAGCCTCTTTGGGGACAGATATAGCTGAGACACAGACCCCCCCGCTCCAGCATCACAGTGACCAGGAAATAAAAAAGGCACTGCTTGGACCAAGCACTTATAGCCTACTTTGAAAATATCTTTAAAAGGCACCACCAGCAGGACATGGTGGTGTAGGCCTGTGATCCCAACTCTCAGAAGGTTGAGGCAGGAGCATAACAATGAGCTCAAGGAGAACCTGAGTTACTTAGAAAGTTCAAGGTCAGCCTATGCTATATACTACTAGTGAGACCCTGTCTTTAAAAAAAGAAAGCATTACTAGGACCAGATAACAAATCCCTCCTAGTCATTCTCCCCATAGATATCTGCCATGTCTCCAGGTATCTAGAGTACAATGCCAAGTCACATTGAGCTACCATCTGTGGGGCCTCTAGGTATATATGGCCAGCCAGAACAGGTCTAGATTCCTATCTCAGGGTTTGGTGAGCTTGCAACCCTCTGGCTCCTCTGACTTTCACCCTGTCTGTCTGCCTTCAGATTACAATTTGACCTTGTGTCATACTCCTGTCAACTTACCTGTTCCCTGCTTAAGTCAGAGCAGGGTTACTGCCTACATGAGGCCCTGTCCTCCACAGCAGCATTCCCTGCCTGTGCTCACTCATTTGTGGTCTTTCATTTATTAACAGCCTCAATGACATATATCAGCCACACAATCACATGCACACACTAAAAGTCAACACTTGTAAATTTAGACATGTGCACACATCTGTGAAGCCTTTATCACCATCAAGTTAAACTTGTCACCCTGTAGCTTCCCAGGCCTCTCTGCCATACCCCTCAAACTTTGCCTATGATCTTCTTTCTCTGTCCACTGGGGGACTCCTTTTTACTCAACTAGGTTCCACTCTGTACCCTGCTTCAAGTAGCTTCCTCTACCCCCAGGATTGAGGAACTCTGGTTCTGAATCTGACTTGATAGCTTGTTCATTTAATCCTTCAGAAAACAAAGTCCTTCAAGAAAAACTGTTCTGTTTACACTCTATACCTCACACAGCTTGGTAAGCATGTGTTCACTCAGAATTGATGAGGGGATGCACAGGCATCCATGCATGGACTGAGGGAAGGAGAAGTGGGAAGCTAGGTGTCTCTTTGCTCCTTGGGGGCAAAACTTCACCACTTGTGATATGACCAGGGGAAGAGGACTCATCTAGAGAAGGCCCACTGCCAACACTGGGCAGTGTTCTCTGTTGTCTTCAGAAGAGCTCAGGACAAGGAGGGAATATGGGGAGGAATAATTAATACTAAAGGCCTTTAGAAAAAGCCATATGGAAACCTACCACTATAAAAAGTACTTGAAGTATAAATATACACATTACAAAAAGAGATTACAAGGAGTTACCTTGTAACAGGGATACACTGTCCCTGCTAGACAACATGGGCTAGCAAAGTAAAAGTTCAATGCTAGGAATCTTTTGAAACTGTTGGCCAGGGGTCCTACAGACCCTAAAACAATACTGGTTATTGCCCTACTGTTCTTGGTTACCCACCAGAACCTCAAAGTACAACCCTATTGCTGAAGACATACACAAGAACTGAAGAACAAGGAGAAATCAAGCTGGTGATGACTTCAAAGCCTCATCTCTACTGTCCAGCTTTCATAGCACTGGAAGGTGCTCTGCAAGCTACCTAAAGAGAAAATTTAGCATGAACCTTACCTAGCTGTGAATCTTGTGAGCTACAACTGGCCTGGCAAGACATGCTCACCAGTGCATCACCGGCATAAATATTATAGGAATAACCAACTACTTTCTAATTGGATTTAAGGTCTGTTTCATAGGATGGAGTCCATACCTGACACTGATATCCCTAGGAACTAAGGCTAGACAGCCCACAGGCCATGGGAGAAAATCTAATATAACTATTCTGCTAGACAGATATAGTATTATACTGACTTCTAATGACTTATTGTTATGCCCACAGATAAATGAATCTCTCAAACTTTCATCAGAGAAACACCATTATACAGAAGATGGTGATTAACACAGAGACCAACAACTGGCCAATATGCAGAAAATTAAAGGCTGCAGACTGCATATCTCTGAATAGGACACCTAAACCAAACTTCTGCCTTCCAAGGCTCAGGGATCATTGAAGAAGAAGGGGTGGAAAGATTCTAAGAGCCAGAGGAGGTGGATGACCAAAAGGAAACAGTCTTCCAGACAGCTGAGCAGTTACTATTTGAATTCACAGCAATGGTGACAATATGGACATGTCCCACATAAGCTCAAGTCAGACAAAATCTCAGCATAGACGTGGGGAAGTGGGTTAAGAAACCCCAATTAAGGAACTACTGGCAACTGATGGTTGCTGGGAAGAGGATATTCACTCTTGTTTAAGGATAAGCCTCTTAGTAGGTTGACTGGGCTCCAGTGGATGAACTCACACTGGAGGGCATCTGGAGATATAAACTGACTCTATAGACCATATATGCATATGGTACATATACATATATACAGAAATGGTGGGGTGCTAGTAAGGGGGGGAGGTACAGATGGGAGAGGATCTAAATATGATCAAACTATACTGTATAAAATTTCCAAAAATTCAATTAAAAAATTTAAAA